GTCAACAAAAAAGAAGACCCCTTGTGTCCAGTGTGGGACTGGACTTTCAAAGATGAGCATGTGCGACCACTTCCAGGATGTTGGTCGGTATGAACCCGTGAGCTGCCCACTTCTTCCTGGCTGGTGATTCGCCTGGCCACCTCGGTCGTCACCATTCTCTCAGGTTCCTCATCCATGTGATTCCAGATCCCAGCACACCTGCCAAATCGGTGAACGGTAAGAGGCAGAGGGTGGCGTCCCTGACCACTCCTGGTGTGAGGTCCATGCCTGCGGAGCTGAGAATGAACTTACCTGATGGTGGGCAGCAGAGGGCATCTGCCATACACTCAGGTGGTGCCAGCGGTGAGGATGGTGCAAGACGACCCTACAGAGCTGAGCAAACCACATGGTGGACATATCTGCTGGAAACACCCCTCTGTATCTGGAGACTCCTGACTTCTCTTTAGAAAAAGAGCACTTGACAAGCGTGTGCGTGTGAAGAAGCTGGGGAAAGGTGGGTGGACAGTGCTGTGTTACATTACATGGTCTCCTACAGAACCACACACACTCAAAACTCGCCAGACACATATTTTGAAGGTATCGACTGGTATCGTCATCATCATTGAAAAATCCTTCTCTTTAAAGAAGCAATACAAGGCTTTATGGGCAACCTCACACACAGGCCCTCTGCCTAGGAAGGATGATGCCACTCTCTTCCTCTCACCTTTCTCCAGGCAAAGAAATGTAATGCTGCTATTTTTTTTTGCTATTTATTGATTTATGTTTATAGAAACAGGGATCTCACTACGTTGCCCAGGCTGGTTTTGAACTCTTGGCTTCAAGCCATCCTCCTCCTATGGCCTTCCAAACCATTGGAATTACAGGCGTGAGCCACTGTGCCAGGCCAGAAATACAGCATTCTGATCTGTGTTCAGGCCCAGCTGTATTATATATTTACTAAGAGGGGCAAGGGAAGGTCTCAGACCAAATGTCATGTCCCTGTGTGGTAGGGGCCACCAAGGAGCCCTGTGATTCTGGCCTCTTGACATCCATGCCCCTGTGCATCCCACCCCACATCGCTGGAGCACGGGCTGTGCTTACTGATCCACTTCCAATAGCCAGTACAGATAGAAGGGATGGGAGATCTCTCCCAGGTCCCGGTTACAGCAGCCCCGCAGCTCCTGCCCCGGGTACCTGCTCTCTCTCTCTCTAGCATGGCTCACCTTCAGGGGTGCAGTTTCCATATCCCGGGAAACCCTGTGTTTTAAAACAAGGCTGTGTGGTGAGGAATGGATGCTGGGCAACAAACCTGTGAGCAAGCTTGCAGGCAGATCACACATAGCCCCCAGTGGTGGCGGACTGCCCCTCCCGAGAGACCCTGCCAGCACCCCTGCTCAGCTGCACCTGGATTCCTGACCACACAGCCAAGGAACATTTATGGACGCTTGTTGTTTTCAGCTGCTATGTTTTGGGTCTCGTCCTGCTGCTGTGGATAACTAACCCACATGGCTTCTTTAAGGATCTGAAGACAAATATCTCAGTTGGCCCAGCAGATAAATATTGAGAATATAATAATAGCTACTGCTCATGGAGTGCTTGCCAGGGCCTGGCGCTGCCCAGACGGGACGATCATGCTCTTATGTAACCAGCCGGGGCCTGCTAAGGAAAAAAGCAAACAGGGACCTGAAGCCCCAGGAAGCTGACCTGCGCTTGCACACCACGGTCTGTTGGGCACCTTAGTGACCTGTGCCCCAGCTGCCCACATGTCACTCTCATCACCACAGTGGAAAGGTTCAGCGTGTGACTCCAAGATCAACCAAAGCCTTCAGAGCCCTGGCACACACCAGGAAGCACAGCTCCCAGGAGAACCAGAGCCTCTGGGGACAGGCAGTGCAACAAGCAGTGGCCACACAGGATCTCGAGTGTGTCTAAAAGGCCGAAAGCCTCTGGTAAAAAGAGAACTCTGTTACTTCCCCCAAAATCCTATTTACATTCAATAATGCCACTGTCATGAATTTCTGCATCAATTTAAACTCATTTCCTTTTGGGCTGTTACAGGTGAGGATGAAAAGTGCCTGGTCAGGAACCCTCTTTTGTTCCCTTCCCCTTTAAAAAGCAAATTCTGCAGACTGCACAAGGATCTCAAAAGTAAGTGTTACTTAAGAAAAAGCAGAGAGATGAATGAGGTGTTCTTTTTTTCCTGAAGGTCACTGAAGACAAAAGCTGCTGCTGAACAATGAATATGACGCAGTGCTGTTCCTTACCCTTCCACCGTGGGGTGGCCGGGACGAGCACCAGGCAACATCACCCATTGTCACGGGCTGCAGCTCCTCCCGTAGATGGCAAAGCTGTTCCCTGTGACGTGCGGAGGGGGTTCCCTGGGAGGACACAAGCTGGCAGCTCACATCCGTGCTGGCCAGCACCCCCCGCGTGCCTGCCCCTCCGTCCTCTCAGGGCACCTGCTCTGGTGTAGCACCTTGCTTCGTGAGAATGCACAGCAAGCACTGGCTGTTTCTATGGTGTTTGCAGAAGAGAAGACTCAGGGCCTAGGGAAGTACTTTAGCAAGAATCTAGAAACCCCAAGGTCCCCACTGAGCTAGGCTCCCAAACTTCCAGTGAGAACAGAAGAGGCTTCGCCCTGGCCCCAGGCTCCCAGACCTGCCTACTTCACCTGCAAGTGGAGCCTCCGCAGACTCTAAATGCCTAAGAGCAGTCTCCACCATCAGTGGCAGGGCTCAGACCCCCTTACACACAGCATGAGTTGTTTGGTGTTCACAGAAATGAGTGAAGTCCTACAAGCACAGTATCACTGACGAAATGAGAGCTGGGGAGGTGCGGTCTCAGGCTGCAGGCGGGGAGGGTGGGCTGTGGATTCACTTTCCAGCCATTAGCGCTCCCCCGTGACGCTCAGACTTGTAAAGTGATCAGGGATTCCGAAACCTTTGGGAGTAAAACCCTACATCGTGCTGAGATTAAATTCCCTCTCCATGAAAGTCCCCTCTCTGTGCGCCATGTCCCCTCTGCAGGCCTGGGTCCCTCCCTGCACGTGTTGTGGGGCTCACTGTTCTCCTTCATCTGTGCCTGTCCCTGTGCCTGCTGGCGCTGGGCAGCTGGGTGCTTCTCCAGCGCCTCTGTGCATGGCCCTGCTCTGCCAGCTCCTGCAGCTCCATCCCCACCCTGTGAAGGTGCAGGTGACTTGCACCCCTCAGAATGAGGCCTCTGCACATCACAAGCCAGGAAGGCATTAGAGACCTGGTCCTGACTGCAGCTGGTCTGGGCCATTTTAGGGTGGTCAGGGCCCTGTTTCTGGAGCAGGTCTTGGGCCCCAGGGCCCCTGCTTTTGTGGCCCCAACATCTTCCGGGAAAGAGCAGAAGCTCTGAAATCAGATTTAAGAGCTATCGTCCTTGGGCAAATCACTCAGCCAAACTGAGGCTCTGGTGATTTATAAAATGTGGATAATAATATCTAAGGATTAGAAATTATGTAAATAAGGTGAACAGCACACAGAGGGAGCTTGTGGGCGTAACGCCACCACAGGGCAAGCAGGAATTGGAAGGCACCTCCAAGCTCAATAGGCTTTCTGCTGTGCCTCAGGGACTCCTGCCCCATGAGTTATGGAAGTTTTCACATTCTAAGCATGAACACTACCAAGAGCTATTTACAAAGCCTGGAAAATCACCAGCTGCCTCTAAACTACAGTCTGAGTTCCAGGAGACGCTGGCACCTCAGAAAGCCTAGCTGCACGGTGGTGAGACAGGTGACCCGAAAGTCAGGTCACACCGGTACCCCATATCCTTCCTCCTGGGCAGGAGAACCCTGTCATCCAACCCTGGCATCCACGACGGGGTCAGGATTGTGACATTCCAAGGGGCAGTCTCTCATCAGAGAGAATAAATCCACAAAGCTGTAACTCACATCTCTGCCAAATTCTCCAAACAGAGAATGCTGGTCACTAGAATGTTTGCTCTTGTTCCTAGAAATATATTTGCGCGCGTGCGCGCGCACACACACACACATGTACACACACATACAGATATCAAGTTCGCACTGGGAGAATAAATAGGAAAACTAAAGGAGAAAACGGTGGGCAGGAGTTTATCTTTACCTGCCTCCAGGAATCAGACCCACCAAATCTAGTCCCATCTGTCCTCCATGGCCTCATGGCCCCCATCTCCAATCTTCTAAACACCACGATTTTGCCTTCTGGGGCTACCAAAAACCAAGGTGATTTCAGCAGCCCCCTTATCTGTGTACAAGGCATTGTTCCCAGGTGCAAAACTTGACCTCCAAGTTCTGGTGCAAAGTCTTGGGACCTTTCCTGACCCCCCTCCAATGTACACTGGCATTCCTACTGGAATACCCGAGTAGCGCAGATGACTTTGATTCAGCTATGTGACACAGGCTCAACCGCTACACGCTGCAGTGTGTTAACAGATGACAAAAGTCAACTGGAGAGACCCAGTTCCAAAGGCATGGAAGCTCCGGGCAAGGATTCGAACTAACCGGGAGAAAATCAGAATTTCAGAAAAATGACAAATTCTGCAGTTCACCCTCTCACTTAGGGACTCAAAGTTCTCAAGCCTTCAGTGATCAAAATGCAGAGGTGCTGTCTGCCTGTTAGCCAGAGGCAGTAGAGCATGGCACTGAGAAACATGGATGGAGCGAAATCCAAATCTAATTACGGCTGTGTGACTCTGAGCCGAATATTTAAGCTCTATGTAACTTAGTTTTTTAAAAAACAGAGTGGGGCACGTCATCTATTCATGTTGCTATAAGGATTAGACAAATTCACATGTAAAATGCCCCGCAGGAGCAATTGTTGAGTACCTCTTATGATTGCCCAGAAGAAGTTGTTAAGCCTGACTCCAGGTAAGAGTAAAACGCAGCTCATTCGCAACATTTCATCAAGTAGAAACTCTGTTGATTCCTCTGCAAGTCTGAATGACCAAGAGCAAAGGGCAAGTGGTGGCACTGACCCAGAGAAATGTGTGAGGCAGGGGTGAATGCATCTCCGACTTACCCCTAAGAGCCCAAAGCGTTCAGACAGGCTCCAGCCACAGAGAAAGTCAATTTCAAACTTGTGGTTGAGAACCACGATGGCATTTTCCTTCCCATACTTGGGGTAGGCGCGCGGGTCCGTGAAGATGGTGCATTCCGTGCCCGACCACCACTCCAGCAGCATCACCAGCTCTGGAACAAACCACAACAGACAGATGTTTATGTCACGCAGCCTTGTCCTCGGGGCTCTGCTGAGAGCAGGACTCTGCCCTCCCAGCTGGGGGAGAAAGCAACTGCTGGGGCAAAGTTCTGGGTCATTGCAGCACAGACCTTGGTCCTTGAGAGGGTTCAGAAGCAGAAGGCAAAACAAGAAAGACTTCACAACTTTCTCCAGGGAAGAAGAGGAGGATGCCTAGAGAAGGCAAACCACTTCCATTCCTTGATTAAGTACCTTGGGGGAAAATAAATCACAAAGCCAGAATCCGTCAAGAATTCATGCCCTTGTAAGGCAGCGTGTGATGAGGTACAGAATTCTTAATATCCTGGAAAATGACTCATTGGGATACTTATAAACTCAATCAAAGAATATTAAATACCCTACTTTCCTCTCCCATTTCTGACACTTGAGGGCACAGGGAGGAATGGAGGATGGTGGTGCCAGGAGCAGGGACCGCAGCACCCGCAAGGCGGGGGGGAGTGAGAGTCACTACACGCGGGTCTGAACAGAACTATTAAAATATTCTTTGCAGGGGCTTTCGAAAAGAAAAGATTCCTTTTTCAGGCAATGATGACCACTTGTAGTTATTCTTCAGTGATGCCTCCCATCCAGGGGACTCATTCCCAATCTAGCAGGCTCAGGAAAAGCCTCTATGGTAGAAACTGTCCAGAAAAACAGTTGAATGTGGGTGATCGACTTTGAAATTGACTCTTAAAGTTGATGGTGTTCAGTAGGGGGTGGCACCTGAGTGCTCTGCGAGGGTCCTGCCTCCTCTCCGCCCCCACCCTTTTTTTTTTTTGAGACAGGGTCTTGTTCTGTTACCCAGGCTGCAGTACAGTGGTGTAATGAAAGCTCACTGCAGCCTCAACCTCCCAGGCTCAAGTGATCCTCCCAGCTCAGCCTCCCCACAAGCCTGCACCACCAGGCCCGGCTACTTTTTTGGTATTTTTTTTAGAGACATTTTGTCATGTTGCCTACAGGTTATACTCCTGGGTTCAAGCAGTCTTCCCACGTTGGCCTCCCGAAGTGCTGGGATTACAGGCGTGAGCTACCGCACGGGGCCATGTGCCTGCCTTTTTAAATCACCAGTTAGTGGAGCACACATGTAGCAGAGGACTCACTCCCTCCCCACCCCAGCCCCACCCTACATACATATAAAGGCAGGTGGATTTGGCCTTGACTCCAGATGAGCCTAGTGTTATAGCTCAAGTGGCTGTCCTTGGAAACTTTTCTCCTCCAGGCTGGAGGCTGAAGGCTAGATGTCAGCACCAGAACCCTCTAGAAGATATCACAGTCTAGTTTTTAAGCAGTTAGGCCCATGGGGGCCTTACAACACCATGGTGTCTTAATCTTTGGAATGGGGTTGCCCCAAAGGGTTTTGTGAGCATAAAGTGCGTAACACAGAGTGTGTGCTCCGTATAGAGCACACTGTAAGCTCCCAGCAAATGGAAGCCATCCATATCCTTAAAAATGAACAAAACCACTCCCCTTCCTTCTCCAGAAGTGAACCATAAAAAAGTGTCTACCTAATTCTAGGAACTGAGAAAACATCAAGCCCCCATTCAGTTGTCCACCAGGCCACGGCATTGGTGGAAGCAGAAGCACAAGCCAAGGAATAGTGATGCGTCCTGGGAGTCGGTTGTGGGAGTTTGCCAGAAGGCGGGGTGCGCGGGCAGGGTAACAACATGCAGCCTGGCAGGGCAGCCTGACGAAGGGGTGGAGGGACAATGTGTTAGCATGGAGTAGAAAGATGCCTGTAGTGCTATGCTGAGTTTTTCTAGGCAGGAGGATGCGAAGGATCAGTTTTTTCCATTACTGACCGAGGAGCACAGATAAGCACCAAAGCACAACTCTGCAGGGAGTCTGGGAGACAAAGCTGAACCTTCCAAGAGAGTCACATTTCCTATGGGTCACAGGCCAAATGCCTCTGCGTGGGACTCCCTGCCCAAGGCCAGTTCCCACCACCCCATTCATATGTTCCCCGGCACCCTCCACAGCCCTATCACAACTGTGACTATGGCACGAGTCACTATATACAGAGCACGGGCGCCACGAGACAGCAACTGTGCTGTGTGGTTCACCCTGACCTTAGCCTCGACTCCAAGACTCCGTAAGTGCCCCGCACCTGGATGCCTTCAACAAATGCCGCATGATGACCTAACGCGTGCGGACACTCTGCGAAGTACAGATGAGCAAACATTCAGCTCAGATCCCGGCTCCCCTCCGGCTTACAGCCCAGGGAAAAGACAGCTACACACCACAGAACAACGTCACAGGGAAAGGAGAAAGGGCTGTTAAGAGGATGGCTGCTGAATATCGTCCTTGCGGATTTGGGAAGCAGACACATCCAGGCGTGTCTCCACCGATCCTGGTGGAGCCACTTACTAGTCGTGAGACTTCTGGCATGTTTCTCAACGTCTTCATTCTCTGTAAAATAGGGATAGGTAAACGCCATTAGAGACGCTGTGGATATTAAATAGAGTATGGATTCAAGACACCTAGCGTGACGTTGGACATGGTAGGCAATCAATACGAGCTTTTAAATTACTATTATATGCATAATAGTTTTATCACACACAAAGGCTCTGTAACCACTGAAGGGGAGCGGAAGGATGGGAAAGAGACAGAGACTTCTGGGAGAGAAACCCAGAGGGAGAGCGTCGCAGAGACTTCTGGGAGAGAAACCCAGAGGGAGAGCGTCCCAGAGACTTCTGGGAGAGAAACCCAGAGGGAGAGCGTCGCAGAGACTTCTGGGAGAGAAACCCAGAGGGAGAGCGTCGCAGAGACTTCTGGGAGAGAAACCCAGAGGGAGAGCGTCGCAGAGACTTCTGGGAGAGAAACCCAGAGGGAGAGCGCCGCAGAGACTTCTGGGTTACCAGAGTAAGGAGTTATGATTTATGATTTCATTCTAAAGACAATAAAAAAACCACTGGAGCATTTTTAAATAGACACACCAACATCCAATTTGCATTTGAAAAAAAATCACTCTGACTGAAACAGGAACAGACTGGAATAGGGAGGCCAGTTAGGGGGTGACCCTTTTAGCACAGAGAGGGGGCAGTGCTGGGACCAGATAGGGTAAGACCAAATTTCTCACTCATCTCAGTAGGGTGTTAAATAGACAACTACACTCTGAACCTCACTGGACAAAAGAGTTTTATTTTCTTTTTTTTTTGAGATGGTGTGTCACTCTGTCACCCAGGCTGGAGTGCAGTGGCCCAATCATACGCTGCTCACCGCAGCCTCAACCTCCTGGGCTCAAGCGATGCTTCCACCACAGGCTCCTGAGTAGTTGGGACCACAGCTGATCTCAAACTTCTAGATTCAAGCGATCCTTCCACCTTGGCCTCCCAAGGTGCTGGGATTACAGGCATGAGCCATCACGCCTGGCCCATTTTTCTCTTTATCAAATGATTTCACATTTTAATTCACAGAAACACATTTATACTGTCATGTAAAATGATTCAAACAACCCAGAAGTATGTCCAAGAAAATAGAAAATTCCTCTACATGGCTTTGGGGAGTGTTCATCATGCTGGCCTGGACTACATTTCCAAGACTTCCCTTTCTTGCATATTTCTGGTTAGGCAGCACCACAAGAGACACTCCTGGGAGGTTTGGAGGGTGAAAAGGAAATAGCACCATTTTGTAGGTCACACACATTTCTGCTGATCTGCTGATTCATCAGTGCGAAGCAGCAGCCAGGCCTGCGACTGCTCCTCCTTCTCCTGGATCCCCCACCAGCTTCTCTGAATCCCAGGCCAGGCCTGTGACTGCTCCTCCTTCTCCTGGATCCCCCACCAGCTTCTCTGAATCCCAGGCCAGGCGCTTGCGTTTAGCTCTGAGACAAAGATTCCAGCTTCTGCAGCACATCCACCCCATCGATGCCAAATGCAAAAGAACTGATACAAGTTTTGGCCCATTCTTATGAGGCTCCAGCTTGTGCTTGGTGGTTCCAACATCTTATCTCTCCCACTTTATATGCACCACCCCTTCCTGACTGCCTGCCCACCCTGTGGACTGCTAGCTCCAGCATCACATGCAGATACAACAGCCCTACAGAGACTGCTAGACCAGCCCCCACAGCCGAGTAAGGCCAATGAGATGATGTACACTGATCTCCCAGTGACTTTGCTTCTCTTTTTTTTTTTTTTTTTTTTGAGATGGAGTTTCGCTCTCGTTACACAGGCTGGAGTGCAATGGTGCGATCTCGGCTCACTGCAACCTCTGCCTCCTGGGTTCAGGCAATTCTCCTGCCTCAGCCTCCTGAGTAGCTGGGATTACAGGCACGCGCCACCATGCCCAGCTAATTGACTTTGCTTCTCTTACTGAACCCTGAATGAGAGATGCTTCCTCAGCTGAGACTGGGTAATTTATGAAGAACAGAGATTTATTTCTTATAGCTCTGGAGGCGGGAGGTCCGAGGTCAAGAGGCCTGCATCTAGCAAGGGCCTTCATGCTATGTCATCCCATGGGGGAAGGCAGAAGGGCAAGCAAGCGTGTGCTCAAGAGAGAGAAATAAGGGAAAGAAACTGAACTCATCCTCTTAGCAGGAACCCACTCTGAATAACTGGCCCACTCCTGAAATAATGGCATGAACAAGGGCAGAGCCCTCACAACCTAACCACCTCTTAAAGGCCCCACATCTCAATACTGTTGCATTGGGAATTAAGTATCCAACACATGACTCTGGGGGATGGGTTCAGAACATAGCACCCCTGAAACATTTACCATCTTGTTTAGGCATCCAAACGAACACACATTAAACACCCAGAAAAAGCAACCGAAGCTTTAACATCACAAGAATTTGAGCCACTAGATAGCGAATTGAAAAACAGTATATCTGGGAATAAAAATAATGCATCGAATCAGAATACAAGCAGAAGAGGAAAAAGGGAAGGGCTTATAACCCCCTAGAAAGGGGCAGAGAAGTTGTAAATGACTGGCCCTGAGAGGGACCTCAGTGGGAGAAGTG